AGGGATAGTGGTGTTATGATATTTTTATGTTGCTGCTTATATCTGAGAGGTATTGTACGATGTTCTTCTCCAGCTTGTGTCTCGGGTATTCATTTGTGACGCTTCGCAAACGTTGTTGATGCTGCACCCACTTTGCCTTGGGGGCATTTTTCACCGCAAATAAACGCGGACGATGCTCGCGTCGCGACTAATTTGACAGATCACGCAGAGTCGTCACGGTAAACAATCAATATACATGCGCGATGTATATGACAAGCGCTCGATACATGGGATATGCGTTCGATACATAGCTCTGGCTATTTTTTTTTTTTTTTTTTTTCGGTAAAATAGGCCGTTTGGGAAAAAAGTTACTCGAGAACGAGAAATCTTCGCAACACGTGCTCTCGTCAGACTTTCACTTAATTTTCTCTTGTTTCGTCAACTCCCACATAGAAGGTTCTCGCGTGTTTAATTGCGCGCGCATGCACTGGCATCGGTCTAATTCAAATGACGCAGCTACCACGAGCTTGTGCCATGTGCTCGTGCTCCGTCAGTCGTTTCAAAGCGTCCGAGACGTTCGCTACTCTCTCGACGTTCTAAGCGTTCAGTGTTCAGTGCATATACCAGTGTGTCCAGTGAGCAGTTCTATCATCCCCACACAATTCAAAATGTGTTCTACCGAATTCCAGCAAGTGATTCTTAGCAGCGACTCGGCCTCTTCTCTGCTCGCCGAATTGACGAAGCATCTGCAAGGTATACAGAATTTGATCGAGCGAACGAAAAGATTCATCCAGATCTACCGCGACTGGCCTCAACAAAAGCAAGATCTCAAGAATCAAGTCGCTCTCGACCTGCTGCGCACGAAGCTCCTATTCCCAAACCCCAAGTACGAAATTAACTTCCTCGCTCTCTCGCTGGAGTGTCACGACTTGAGCCTGATACAGCTGCTTCAGCGGACCTCCGAATTGAACGTGCACCGCGCGCTGAGCCGTAACGGAACCGGTGCGGCTTTTCTCATATACAAGTACCACGAGAAGCCTGAACACGACACTTTTATGGACGAGCAGAGGGAGATCGCCAGATACTTTCTGACGACGGCGAGCGAGAACCACGGCGACAGGCACGGTTTCACGTACTTCCATCTGGCCTGTCAGATGGGCCACCTGGATACGGTGGAGCGTTTCCTAGCGGACGGCCTGGTGACCGACGTCGATTTGGTGGACGCCGACTCGACGCGACTGCACGGCTCGCCGCTCCATCTCGCCGCGCGCAACAGGCACGCGGAGGTGGTGAGGATCCTGCTGGGGCGCGGAGCCAACCCTCGCCGGGTCGATCGCCGGGGCTCGACACCGCTGCACGAGCTCGCCAAGGCCTGTCACTGCCGCTGCCCCCGGGGCGGGTACTACTGCCACTGGCGACGACCCACCGGGGCGATAATTCAGCTGCTGTTGGATCATGGTGCCGAGCTGGAGGCGCTTAACGACCGGGGACACACGCCTTTGGCCGCGGCGGCCGCGCGCTTCGACGCCGAGCTCACGCACCAGTTGCTCGAGCGCAAGGCGAGCCTGGACGCGCTCGACGACGCCAAGCTGTTCGCGGGAGGCGAGTTCTCGCGACACGAGCTGAGGAATTACCCATTGGCGCTGAACGCCATCGACACGGTGAACGAGCTGAAACGTGCCGGCTACGAGATGAGCATGCGTTCGAGATTCTTAATGACCAAGTGCCTGATCAGAGTGCACGGAAGAGCCGGCGGTGGCGAGCAGCTCGACTATCTCATTCCGGAACGCTGCTCCGACGGCAAAATCTGCTGGAACGTCAAGATCTACAAGTACTTTCAGAGGGAGCTGGGCTGCTACTGGAAGCCGGAAGTCGAGGAGAGCATGCGAAAGGCCTACGAGGCGGCGGAGCGGAGACTCGCGGCGAGAAACGAGGCACCGCCGTGCTTGAGCGAGAGCCTCGTGGCTGTACTCGAGAAACACATGGAACACGCGAGGGAATGGAAAGTGTCGGATAACTTGACGCTCGTAGACCTGTTGCGAGCCAGTCCCCGCGAGGCACTCGCGCTGATCAAACGGGCCAAGAAGATCAAGCGCCCGGGGACGATAGCCGCACTGAGCCACGGCCATCTGCTGGTCTTGGTGCAGAGACACCTCGGCGAGGTACTGGCGCGAAGGCGACTCGAGTGCTTCGCCGAGGAGCTGTACATGAGCAAGCGCTGCGTCGCGAGGCTGGAGCGCGCCAAGTGTCGCCGACTGCTGGAGGAGACGAGCGACGACGAGCTGTGGCGCTTCTGCGCCCAGATCAAGGAGGAGACTCTGTACGAGGAGTGCCGCTGCGACCCTTGCCAGGTCAGCGCGAGGCTGGAAGGTCTCCAGCTCGAGGCGGCGAGCGAAGAAATGGAGTGCGTGTGACACAGTCTCGTCGATCTCGATTGTATTATATAGTGTAAATAGTTTGTGTATCGTGATTAATTTTATTTGAATAAAGATGATAAAAAATAAAAATTCAACGATCTTCTCTAACATTTTTCTATGAATATAACCTCTACTGTTTTAAATTGTGCAAGTACATTCACAAAAATGATCTTCTATAGAGATACATTTTTTCTTTCTTTTGTAAACCAAGTTGACTAGATGTTTTAAAATTTGAAACGTGAAGTAGCAACCATTTAGATAAATTTTCCAACAGAATTTATCAGACTAGCCAATTTTATTCAAATATGATTTTGTTTCATTCGTAGGTAACGTCTCTTATTTTATTCATTCAAGAGCAGTCATTCGACAGAAACGTTTTAATTTCATTCTATTAGGTTGAAATGCAGACAAAAGTACAGTGTTTCGCTCTAACTCAGACTCATTATTGCCCAGACATTGAATGTTGGAAGCTTGTACAAATGTAGTCCCGGACGATTTCGGATTGATTTCATTTCAAGTTTGAAACGCAGTGCCCTCAATGTTTCTACGCATAAATTGTGACGTGGTACGGACGAGCTTGAAGTTCCTTATGCTGAGCATTATTATCAACTTATTGAACAAAAACGACCACTTGAACGTTTTCAAATGCACTACGATTAATCGACACGTTTACGACGATTTTTTTATTACGATGCAAGCTTGTACGAGCATTGTTAATGACACGGATTTAAACCAATTTAAAAATCATAATATTATTTCACGACTGTCGCGCTAGGTGGCGGTATGCCTTTATTTGTAAATCTGCAAGTAGCAAAGTCAAAATGATTGTATATATTGAAACAAGGTACACACAAATCGCATATGACTAGTGAACGAGGAATTTATTAAATTAAAATTAACTATAATTTGATTAAACTCGCATTTTACTTTAAAAATGTAATTTAATTAAATATAACCATAAAAAGTGTATATGGGCTATATCGCGTCAACTATTCCCCCTCTGTTTGTTTTGATTTTTCATATTTTATTCTGCTTCCCAAAGGTGAATATGAAAAAAAATTATTGAAACATGGTTTTTTATGTAATATTTGATGAGGAATTCAAATTTGATGTAAAAAATCATATTCATAAACTCCAAGTACCTTAATTCCCAAAAATCAGCTTAAATGGCAAAAATAAACATGTTCGTATCCAGCGATATGGCCAATATTGTAATATGTTCATCGATACACCAAAATACAACTTCTGATAAATTTTGGTAGTTGGCAGACAAACAGACTTCATTATTGAACATGATATGAGTCAAGAATAGAGGAAATCTAGAGAAAAAGCATGTTTTATTGGCACATATGAAGGTCAATAATGAAGTCTGTTTGTCTGCAGATGAAAAAAATTTATCAGAATTTGTATCTTGGTGTATCGATGAACATATTACAATATTGGCCATATCGCTGGATACAATCATGTTTATTTTTGCCACTGAGGCTGAAATTTAGAAATTAAGGTACTATGAAGTTTATGAATATGATTTTTGACATCAAATTTGAATTCCTCATCAAACTTTACATAAAAAATCACGTTTCAATCATTTTTTCATATTCACCCTTGGAAAGCAGAATAAAATATGAAAAATCAAATTACAACTCTAATCCAAGAAGGGGGACACAGTTGACGCGATATGGCCCATATACTAAATGTCGATTTGCGTGAAATCATCAAGTCATTATTATCCAGACCACAAAATGTTGGAAAAAGCGTTACTCTCTTCGTTTAACATATATCCCCAGCTCTAAAAGCTCTCTTTTCTACCAAAGAAAATTAGACCTCAAACAATGAACATTTCTATACACTATACAGCTAAAAACGGCCTGCGCGACGATCGTCAATTTTTTCAAATATTTTTAGCCGCAGCCGCAACAGCCGCTGTATTCTTCGCAATGTTATTGTAAGTCTATTATAACGCCGAGTGCTAGCTAGCGCACAAGATGATGCATATATATTATATATGAGTATAATTGCAGTTCCGCCGATAAATAACCGAGGAATATAAGCGCAGCCACGACGAGTGCCAATAATTATAAGGCGCATTATTATTATTATTATTATTATCATACAGCGGCGCATTATTGCCTTCGATCTCTCTCTCTTCGAAGCTCTAAAGCTCAGTATCATTATTACGTCTCGAAACGACGCGAGAAATCGTCGTCGTCGATGGATTACTATTTTTTACCCAATATAATATATTACACTACAACGAGGTAAAGTTCAGTTCGTCGATTGTAACGAGCTCCATTACGATGTTTATGCGCGCGGCAAGTTCTCCCGCGTTGGCCATATAATACATGCATTAGCCTCTCCGATATCATTAGGAAAGTTGGGTCGTACACCGGCTCCTCTCTTTATCATCTCTCGCTCGACGAAATCGTGTTACACGGCTCGTGTGTAGTACGGATAATGATAAACAAAAAAAGTTTTGGGCGCAGAGCACAGCGTTGCTTTTGACACACGCGTTATACTATACACTAACACGCATCATGCAGCTATGTAATACAGCACACGGCACACGCATGCATCGACGAAGAACAAAAAAAAAGAGTTAATTACCTTGTCAGTCGATGTGTATTTTTCTACTGAATATAGGCGACTGCAGTACAGTACGCGACGACGTCCCTCCGGTGCGACGCGGCAGAGAGAGAGAGAACGACGAGTGACACACTGACACACACTCACTCACGCGCACAAACACAGAATAGAGAGAGCGAGAGAGAGAGAGGCAGAAGAGAGAAAAAGCCGGGTCGGGTCCGCGCCCTTGCTCTCCGCGTTCACTCGCTTTTTTTACACCGAAGCACGCACTGCGTGGGAAGAGCTTTCCCGCTGACGATGGGAAAACCGCGATTTGCGCACTTTTTTTCTTTCTTTCTTTTTTCAACACACGCACTCGTTGTTTTTGAACGATTGGGACGATGTGCCGTAGATTTTTTTCTTCTTCCGCAATTCGATGCAGGATGAAATCTTCTTCTTTCTTCGCACTTTTATACACACGAACACTAGAAACAAAATCACCAACACCGGCAGCAAAAAAAAGGGGGGAAAGAAAACCCAAAGAAAGAAAAGACGATGTGTGACAACTCTCGGATTATAATATCTGCTCGGAGATTCACTTCCGATTCGGCGTGGCGCGCGCGAATAATAAACTATTTTGGCTCGAGTCGCACAACGACGACGACGACGACGACAAGTCTCTCCTCGAGTATATCGTATATATATTCACAAAATTTATATATACGACAAATACGCGCACATATTATTTTTCTTTCCTGTTTCTTCTTTTATATATACACACACTCGCGCGCGCGTCAGAGGTTGTAGAGAAACAAGAGATATACAGATAAAGACAGGGGGGAGAATAGGATATTTTTCTTCTATCTCGTGCCTTTTTTTCGTTCGTTCGTTCGTCGAGAGAAAAACGTCGTAATTTATTTATATTTTTATAATAATACGTGAAAAAAAAGCTCGTCGGTCGGTCGTGGTGTCGGCGGGTTGTGGTCGATCGCGCGGCGGCGGCGTTTGGTGCGGCGGGTGATTATTGTTGCTGTCGTAGCCTCGACGGGGCTCGGCCAGAGACTGCTGCTGCTGGTGGCTTTGGCATATTACATACTCTCTCTCGCGCTCGAGAGAGAAAACACGCAGCGCGGCGGCGGCGCTCGGCGCTCGTCGTCGGGGCTTGGTCGTCGCATGCGCGTTTCGCTCCCCTCTCTCTCTCTCTGCTCCGAGCCAAGCCAAAGCCAAAGCCAGCTGATATCTCTCAAAAGCTCGCGAGAGAGCTTGGCTGGCTGGCGGCTGAGCTTTTACCACTATTTATATATCTATGTATAATATGTACGTTGTAGCAAGTCGCTGCTGCTGGTGCTGCTGCTGAGCGGCAGTAGCATACATACACACACCGAGTCGACGCGCGAGGCACTGATGAATGGAAGTTGAATGACTTGGATAACACACCTATAATATGCCCGTGATATATGAACGGGCAACACACGTATATAGCGCGGCGAGCGAGGCATAGCTGCTGTATGTTATGTAGCATAATATAATAAGTAAGTGTACACACTTTGTTTCCTGAATTATTTTATAAAGGCTTGTTGTCGCTTGCAAAACGAACAACATAATATATAGGAATCGACGTGACGGGCGAAAAATCTGCACTGCGCGAGCTTTCGAAGTTTAATGTGCTTTGGCTAAATCACGACGTTTTACCTAAAGGATAAAACTTCAGAAATAATCAGATCTTTTTTTAAACGAAATCTAAAGCTCTACCTTGATGGACTCTGGTCGAAAACTGGAGTATTCGGTGAAATAGGCTATCTGGTATTTGATCAGATGCAATAAACTTTCATAATTTCCAAGGTAATGTTGCATTACAACTTTTTGAGAACACAAATGTTTCTCGTGTATTTCAAGACACGTGCTTTCAGCCTTCGAAAATATAAATATAGCTCAAAACATTTTTTTAGAAATATTACAAGTTTCGAAAGGTTTTTTTTACTATCCGAAGGTATTTATAGAAAAACTTCTTAAAGATGTGGATAATTTATCCGAGTGAACAAGCTAAAAATGTTTTTTAAGCGATCGAGTACTCGCAGTTTTACCCTATAAACGTAAGAGATGAGTCGTCGATTGTTTTCGTGTGTCGAGCTTGCGAACTCGTACCCGCAGTGTAACGTGATGTGTCATTAATACAATAATATAAAACGCACCAACGTCGAAACGTTCTTGCCCCCACGTGTGTTAAACGCGTACATCGATCGCCGCAGATAATACGCAACGATTAATCAATCGAGCGCAATCGACATTTTCGCTCTCTCTCTCTCTCTCTCTCTCTCTCTCTCTCTCTCTCTCTCTCTCTCTCACGCTCGCCGCCGCTTTCAAACGGAATAGAGAAATCAATTAACTTTCGTCTCGCAGCTACTGTATATGTACCATAGGGAGGACATTACAAAGCTTTACAACCCACGCGTCAAATAGGTCGGTTAACGAGCGCGTAAAAGCTCGAAGCAGCAGCTGTATAGCTAGCCCCGGTCGTCGCGGTTTTACAATTCATCCGCGAGAACGCGAAATTCGCGCGAGGAATACGATATTATGTAACGCGTGGGTAAAGGATCGAATATTCGAATGTAATGTAATGTAATGTGTAATATGCGCGCGCGCAAAAAGTTACGCGTTAGCTATATCGAGGGCGTGGTCGCGACGATCCGTGCATAATACCCCGCTGGTTGAAGACATTATTCCTCGAAAAGAGGAGCTTATTTTATGCGTGGTGCTCTGTAGAACAGCGAAATAAAGATCGTCGCGAATGGAAGCTTTTAGGAGAAATATTCAAGTATAGAAGTTTCAGTGAGCGAGATCGAAAATTTGACTTTTCGATTGGATTCGAAGTCCCATTATACCGGGCAAGAAACAAACATCCAATTATATAGTTAAAATTGATTCCCTATCTGTATTCTCGCAAGTGGTTTCCCACTTGCGAGAGCGATTTTTGTACGGGACACGCCATGGCTTTTCTTTCTGCATTTGAAAAAATTTAAAATTTTCTACTTAAGAAGAATTACAATCCGAAAATGCACAAATGAAAGCCATTTTATTCGATATTATTGTCAATACCATGTACGAAAAAGCCGAAACTGCAATTTTTTTTCATTTAAAAATTAAGACTTCAACTTAAAATTACTATAATAATTCGCAATACGACGATTTCCACTTTATCTAGATATTTTTTCTTAATTTTATTTCTCCACTGTAAACTAATTGCAAGTAATTTTAGCAAACTAATTTAACAACGCAAAAAAGTTAAATAAAGAAAAAAATAACAACTGAGAGCTTCGAAGTTTGTTAGCTAGTCCTCCACCATAATCATTCCACGAGTATCCAAGAAAATTTCTTAGTGTCAGAAAAAAAGAAAATAATTTTCCAAAAAAAATGGTTTATGATATAAAATTTAAAATCAATTTAGAAAAACTAATTACAAGTGATGAAATAAAACATGTGATGCTGTAGCAGCAACGGAGCTTTAATTTTTAAAATTGTTAATCAAAAAATACAGAATTATATGGTAAAAAAAGGAAACAAATAATTTCATTCCTTAGTTTACTATAACTAAGATGAAAAATTTTAATAAAAACATTACTTTTTTTATGATTATGATCAAATCAGTGAATGTTTTGGCCTGTAGCCGTCAAACAGATATGCCACAAATCTTCGTTCTTCAACTGTTTGATGATCATTTCGCAGCAAAGAATCGGCAGGTGTTGACGTGTAAGGTCCATGAAAGGATCCAGTGCCCAACGACGGAAAAATCTTTTCGTTAGTTTCTCGTGTAAATGCCTACAACAATTCTCCTCCTGATCGACTGAATCAAAACCAAGCATTACCCATGATTGCGCAAACTTGTAGTAATCTTCATATGTAACTAGCTTCGCCGCCTCTTCGGGTCGTAACCGAATCAAATCGTAGAGCGACAGACTCGGAATTACCACAAACTCTTTCGCTTTGACGGCGAACTCTTCGTCGTCAAACCAAGCGTCGTCGATATTTTCAGACTTTCCCGGCCATCCATACTTGTTGAACACTTTCATGATTGTCATTGCGTCGCTTCGATCCAACTCGTAGCCTCTTTTTTCCAGGCGCTCGACAACGGCTAGAATGCCAGACGCCAGAATCACGAGAAAATAAGAATCAATATCATCGATCTCCAGTTTCTCATCGAAGTCGTCTTCAGAGGGAAAAACGAAGTCGGACAGATCAGCGCCATGGTCCAAGAGAACATCGATCACATCCGGAAAGAAATTCACCACTGCTAATTCCAACGGTGTCAAGTCCCAATCGTTACGGACATCGACCTCTACGACCTGATCGACTTCTTTGGTGATCTCGAAGAATATATCCAAGAAGTCATCATCGTGGTACTTCTGATAGATAATAAGATCGTGCAGAATAGTATATCCACTATGACCGACCAGGTTCGGATCGGCGCCTCTTCTTAGCAGTAGTTTGAACACTTCTTCATTGCTGTTGCTCAGAGCCAAGTACAGCGGCGAGTCACGCGTTTTTGTCACAAGGAGATTCGGATCCTGTCCGAGATCGAGGAATTTTTCGACAACTTCGTCACAGCCATTCTGACAGGCTGCATGAAAATGCGTTAATCCATCTTCGTCGGTGTAATTCACATCGAATTTGTCGTATATTTTAAAAAGATTATCGACGAAGTAACTTTTTGAATAATTTCTATTCGCATAATGAATTGGTGTGGTGCGACGCGATAGTGGCTTGCCGTCTTCACCAACCTCGGGTTCGTCTTTGTAGCCGCTGTTGAATACAAAGTCTATGAATGATTCTGCACTCCTCCGGTCGTTCTTGACAGACTCGGTGAGGAGCCACTCGATAGCTTCGGGACGAAAAATGTCTCTGAGGTTAGGAAGTTGGCCGTGGTAATCTCTGATAGAAGAATAAAGATGACGAAGAAATTCGTGATTCTTTTCTTCGATGTTTCCATGGACTTGGGCCATTGTCTTACACACTCGCACAAAACACAGTGAAATATAATTTATCTTCAAAAACTATTGCGTTTTCACAATAATCACTTTTTGCGGTCAAGACGATCTTGCCCAGTGTATCCTCAGCGGCGTTGTCACGTATACTGACTATAAACAATACTCTTAAATATCTATAGCGAGGAAGCACCGGTGGGCTGATCGATTTCACTTGCACTGCAGCACGAGCGAGCCAAACGAGAGCGAGAGAAAGTCAGAGAAACACTAAAACGACGCTTCGTTGTTCGTAGTTCCTAGAGGTTACATACGCAATGACATGAGCGTCGGCGGCAGCAGAAGTGACTTATCACAGCGCGCGAAAGATTGTTCGTATGTAATGTAAGTTGTAACGATTCTCGCAAGATATTCCACTTGAAAAATAAAGAAAAAATAATATCGGGGGGCTTCGAAGCTTTAGCAGCTCTTTCTTCATAATCAGTGCGCAGATTCAACAAAACTATCTTTGATTTTGAAAAAAACGAAAAGTCAAAAACATTTCGAAAAAAAGTATTTTTTTAATCCACATCGCGAAATTAATTCTCCGGGTCTATAAATGCAGTTCTATACGATACAACTTACTTCTATTATATGTTACTTTCAGATTATTGCTAACGACAGGCATACACATTAGCATTGAATTATTCATGAAAGCTACAAATGATTTAAAATAGGCGTTATTACAAGAACGTAGAGTAGGACTTGGTGCCTTTTTGGGGCGACGGACATCGACGGACAGCATCAGCTGGTACAAGTTAGACCGTATTCGCTGCACTACTGGGGAATATCCCTTCCGAATTGACTAAATTCAGACCGGCACCTCCTCTCAAAGACGTAGGTGCCGATCCGAATTTAGGCGACTCAGAAGGATTGACTCCTTTGAACCTTTCCTGCGAGATAGACGACGTGATGACGTTGTCAGGAATATCCCTTCCAAGTGGACCAAATTTGGGATGGCGCTTTCTCTCAATGACGAAAGCGCAAATCCAAATTCGAGGCGACTCAGAAGGATTGACTCCTTTGAACCTTTCCTGCGAGATGAAAAGCTTGACTTGGGCCGGGCTCGAACCAGCGACAATATACCTTCAACCGGCGAATGCTCTATCCACTGAGCTATCAAGGAACTTCGATAAATCGATCGTTACTTGTATACAAGAGTGAAAGATGTTATTTACTCTCATTGTTTATATTATTTCAGGCGCCTACCTACCAGGCGCCTGACTCTCTTCATCGACAAGTGATTTAATCGACATTTTTAACGTATTTTGATATTACCGTGTTCCAACTCTGTTCTGAATGAAATCATGGACTGTCAATGATTTTGTAAAAAGTGATAAAACAGTTATTTAGTGCAATTGTAACGATTGTGAACTAAAAAATAAATAGTCATATTTATGATTTTGAAAGATGAAAGGGAGCATGAATATACTGACCTATCTTAAAGATAAACTTCCGAATTTTTTATTTAAACGTGACGAGAAAAAAGTAAACTAAAAAATTCTAATGCTATACGATGGTTTGATTAAAAAGATCAAATGAACACACAAGAGATTTTTTTCAAATCTGTTTAATTATTTATTTATTTATTTGGTTGTCTTGGAAAATAAGAAAAATTTAATAACGTAAGACATTTGAAAATACATCGAATAAATTTATCATAAACTTTAGCCTGCAACTGCCAGGCTAATTTTCCACAAATCTTCGTTCTTCAGCTGTTCGATGATCATTTCAGAACAGAGAATCGGCAGTTTATAGTGTGTCAGCTCCATGAAACTATCCACTGCCCAGCGCCGGAAAAATCCTCTTGATATTTTCTCAGACAAGTGCACAATACAAGCGTCACTAGTAGGTCCGTCGGAGACCTCCCACAATTCACTCGAGCGCCAAAATTTGAAGTAGTCTTCAGTTGTGAGTATTTTTGGCATCTCTTTGGATCCTAACCAGATCAAATCGTAGAGCGAAAGGCTCGAACTAATCATTATTTTTTTTGCTTTTATCAAAAACTCCTCATCGTCGAATAAATATTCTTCAAAATCCTCCGACTTCTCGAACAACCCGTACTTATCGAATAATGTCATAATCGATAAGGCTTCGTTTCGTTTCAATTTGTAATTTCTTTTTTCGAGTTGCCTAACGACACCCAAAGCGCCAGACGCTATGCTCAATTTATAATTAAGCGAAATTTTACAGTTCTTCATCCAATTTAGTTTCTTGTCTACTTTGAGTGAGAAGACATTTTCGGTAGGAAAAGCGAAGCTGGTCAGATCAGCGCCACGATTCAAAAGTATATCGACTTCATCTGCCAAGAGATTCGCCACAGCCAATTGCAGCGGTGTCCGGCCCATCTTGTCCCGGGCGTCGACTCGCAACGTCTGCTGCATGTCATCGTTGATCTCGAAAAATTTTTTCAACAAGTCATGGCACTCGTCGACTTTGTTATCGTATTTGTCTCTGGTGCAAATAATATGGAGGGGAGTCAATCCTTCTTCGTTGGCTGCGTTCGAGTCGGCGCCTCGTCTAAGCAGCGATTCGACCGTCTTGTGACATTCGGCCACAGCCAAGTGCAATGGGGTATCGCCCGACTTGTCCACGGCACCAACGTTTATCGGATGATATTTTTCGTGGCTCATTTCGAACAACCAAATCGCATACTCATCGCAGTATTCATTCCGACAAATCATGTGCAGAGGAGTCGATCCCTCTGCATTAGCTAGATTCGGATCTGCGCCGCTTCTCAGCAGCAATTTAAACACTCGTTCGCTATCGTTGATCAGAGCCAAATGCAGCGGCGAATAATCCATTCCTTGCTCGAAAAAATTGGGATCTACTCCGTGTTCGAGAAATTTCTCGACGATGTCGTCACAGTCGTTCTCGCAGGCTATGTGAAAATGTGTGTACCCATCGTCGTCGGTGTAATTCACATCACATCTATCGTATCGGCCTCGAGCCGCTACCGCAGCGCCTAGCGCGCGGTGGCGGCTCAAAAAACTTTGAGGGCATCAAAACATAAGCCTTTAACATGTAATATAATGGAGACTTCGTTATAGTGATATACTATTTATGTGTTTTTATTAATTAATAACAATAGTTACCGCAAAAATTTGAAATCATACACGTATTAATATCATCTGAACTAAATCACAACATTGAAAAGGACATTATATCAACAATATGGATATATTATCAATAACGCATGACCTATCATTTTGGCCCGAGGCTGTAAAGCACGGAAAAAATTTGGCAATTTCAGGTCATATAAACAATGTTTCAGAAGAAACAACGTTTAATGATTGTAAAGTGATAAGAGCCTTTTGCATTAAAACGAAAAAAATTAGGGAAACGCCGTATAATATAGAAGTATGGGTAAGCTAAAGAGTTACATATTCTTTTTTTCTCAATGATTCTTTGCATTAGACTTATATCGTTTTTTATTGCAGATCAATAATTTACGACACCTGACAAATGCAAAATGTAATTGTTTAGCGGGGATAACCTCCGATTGCAAGCATATTTATGCTACTATTTATTTCATAAACAATCATTAGATATGTGAGTGCATAATAATGTTTCATTTTTAACATGAGTTTTAGTGTATTGAAATAAAAAATTAAAGTTTTATTATTTTATGAATCTATGTTGTACTTTTATTTTGGTAATTTACATTATGTATGTCACTTGGGATACAAACTTATTTTATGATAGTTGGCTGTAAATTTACTAAAACACAACACATGAAGATGATTTCATCAATGTATGGAAGCATCTTAATTGAAATCATGTCTAATATTTTGTAAATTCTTAGTCTCTGCATTATTCGTTCAATGTGTATCCTCACTCTTGCAATGTGACGTTGCTCTTCTCGTTGTTCTCCTGTAAGATGGTGGTTTTCAACGAATGGGGGCATGACAACTAAAACATTTTTTCCATTTTCCATTAGCTTGGATTGTATACTGGGAAATCCCTTATCAGCCAATATGGTATCTCCACTTTCTAACAATTTTAACAATTCAGAACCAGCAGTTATTTGCACATCACTTGCTCGACCACCATATGCACAACTCACAAAAGTAACTAATCCAGCAGGTGAACATCCTACGACAACTTTAATTCTGTATCCACCTTTATACGAAGACCAAGATTGTATTTGTTCATCGGTGCGAGGTGGCTCTTCCATCCTAAATTCTGTGGCATCTATGATAATTCTGAAGTTACTATAATTAGGCTTAAAACAGTCTGGTGTAGTTCCTCGTACCTCTTCTTGAGATGGCCAGGGAACAAATTCTTTACAGGCTGCTGCTAGATAACTTAATGTGACATAGAAAATTTTGGATATTGTAGTTCTGTGTACGCCAAAGAAGACACCAATTACGCTAAATGACAATCCAGTTTTCATCTTTAGTAGAAATATTACTAATCTATTTTCAATGCTGATACTTTTTTTTTCAGTGGAATAATCTCTTGATAAGACTTTCAACAATAACTGAAATGTCTTTGAGTTAATGCCACATACTTGGAGCATCTTCTCATTGTTATCCTTGATGCAATCATAACCCTTGAATCCACCAATGTCACTTTTTATTGGTAATTCATTAAGTTGACATTTTTTTATCGATGAATTAGGTGCTGCAGTATAAGTCTCTGCATCCCACTTATTTATTTGATTATTGTAGGAAGGCATTCGACTGCAAATAAATGCTGGTAATAGAATATCCTCTTCTACTTTATGAGCCACTTTATGGGGAAATAACTTATTATCAGTTGGGAAATGATACAAATTAATATTCTCACTAGTCGATTTGCTGTTGCAATTATAAACACAACACTTTTTAGCTACAGGCCTTTTATTTGTCATTTTAATTTTAGTTTAATGTACTTGCTTTAGAGCAGAAGCTATATCAATACTAGTATGCGACTGCCCTCAAAGTTCGATAGTCTACCGTTCGAGCGCTGACTACCAGAAGCTCGAGGCCGATATTTTGAAAAGATCAGGAATTATGTAATTTTCATCAATTCTATACGCATGATGAATTGGCGTAGTACGACGCAATAATAGCTTGCCATCTTCATCAACTTTGGGCTCATCTTTGTAGCCGCTGTTGATCACAAAGTCGACGAGTGTTGACGGATTCGTCCTGTCGGATTCGACAGAATCCATAAGAAGCCAATCGATAGCTTCGGGACGAAAAATGTCTCGGAGGTTAGGAAGTTGGCCCTCATAATTACAGATAAAGGAATGAAGTTTACGAAGAAATTCGTGACTCCTTTCTTCGATCTCCCGATCGACCTTCTCATTCAATTCATTCGAACAGTTTTGATTTTCTTGAGACATTATTTCAACGCAGTCACTCAGCAAACACAATAGATTATAACTTCAATTATGTCATTTATTATTCACTACAGTTAACACGTAAAGAATCACTACAGCTGCAGTCGGCGATATTTTTTTTGTTGTTCACGCTGCGTCATGGTAACGTGTACTGATCATTTATAGTCTCTTGACCGAATAACTCGAACGATCACTCACTGCAGCGTTAAGTCGTCAAGCGAGTCAAGCGAGCAGAAGCAAGAGAGACAAAATTTATATGAGTTATATGACGCTACTAAAACGTTACACAGGAATGAGCCTGCCGACAGCCGAGCAGTAGCAGTCGCTCGTGACGCATTCAACTCTCCGCAGCAGAGTTACTTTGCCGAATGATTGACTGACCGTCTCTCGACTAGAAAATGGACACTTGTATACGCACTAATTATACTTTCACGCGTAACATACTAATTGGGCATGGACAATTTTTGTTGGTTTTTCATAAAATTTTTTACAAGTCGGTAAATTACTAATACCCACTGACTGCCAGAAAGAAAATTGCAAGATATAAAAAAGATATACGAGTAGCTTTATTAATTTTTTGAAATTCTTGCGAATTTATTACAGAATTGTGTGACATGAAAAAAAAACTGAAAGATTGTATTGCTATACGATGAAGTTCAAATATAAAATAAAAATATGACACACTACAAAATACAGCCAACATATTTATCATGAATTTTTGCCAGTAACCGCTGAGCAAATACCCCATAAATCTTTATTCATGAGCTGCTTAATGATAATTTCAGAACAGAGAATCGGCAGGCGATAGCGCGTCAGCTCCATGAAATCATTCAGTGCCCATCGTCGAAAAAATCCTCTGGATATTTTCTCACAAAAATGCAAAGCACAAACCGTTTGATACTTTTCGGGCAACCCCCACAAAAAATTGTCCGATTTCGCCAAGTTGTAGTAATCCATGCAAGTGAGTATTTTTGCCGACTCTTCGGGCTTTAATAGGATCAAATCGTACAGCGACAAGCTCGGTTTTACCAATAATTTTTTCGCTTTTTTCGTGAAACGTTTGCTGTTGTACCAACGTTTTGCATTATCCTTTGACTTTTCGAACAATAGGTACTTCTCGAATAATGCCATGATCGTCAAGGCGTCGCTTCGTTCCAATTCGTATCCTCTTTTCTCCAGTTGTTCGACGACGGCCATGGCTCCAGACGCTAGACGATATTGAGAATTAAACTCAAATTCTTCATGCTGCAGTTCCTTATCGACATCGTCCTCGGTGGGAAAAACGAAGCTGGACAGGTCAGCGCCATAATTTAACAGAACATCCACGGTATTCGGTAACATATTCGCTGCAGCCAATTGCAACGGCGTCCGGTTATCCTTGTCCCGGGCGTCGACTTTCACAGATAGATGTTGTTCGTCGCAGATCTCAAAGAGTATCTTCGTGAATTCCTCGTGGCGGTATCTCTGAAAAAAAACACTTTTGTGCAGAGGAGTCTCTCCTTCGTCGTTAGCCAAATTCGGATTTGCGCCTCTTTTCAGCAGCAGTTTAAACTCATCCGTAGAGTCCCCGATCGCAGCCAAGTGTAGCGGCGAATTACCAGTATTTTCCACAGGGACATTGGGATCCTGTCCGAGATCGAGGAAATTTTTAACGACTTCAAGACAGCCATACTCACAGGCTACATGAAAATGTGTCAATCCATCCTTGTTGGTGTAATTTACGTCAAATCTGTTATATATTTGAAAAAGATCGATGATTATGGATCTTTGACCTGCTATACTTGTACTTATAGCCACATGATGAATGGGCGTAGTACGACGCAATAATAGCTTGCCATCTTCATCAACTTTGGGCTCGTCTTTGTAGCCGCTGTTGATAACAAAGTCAACGAATGTTGCTCTATTAAATTCTTTGGATATAATCGACTCTATGAGAAGCCAATCAATAGCTTCGGGACGAAATATATCTCGGAGGTTAGGAAATTGGCCGTGGTAATCCATGATAGAAGAATGAAGATGACGAAGAAATTCGTGATTCTTTTGATCGATTTCCCGAATGACCTTTTCATTCAATTTATTCGAACAGTTTTGATTTTCTTGGGACATTATTTTAACACAGTCACTCAGCAAACACAATCGCTTATTACGTCTAATATTGGTTTCTTTTTCACTAGAGCTAACACGCAAATCACTATAGCTGTCTTTTTTCTTTCGTTGTTCACGCCTCGTCGTGGCAATAGCGTGTACTGATCATTTATTGCCTTTCGATGGAGTACCTCGTACATGAACACCCACTGCAGCGTCGATTCAAGTGAGCAGAAACAACTAGAGAGACAAAGATTATGACGCTTATACCTATAGACGTTTATACTGACTACTGCGACAGTATATACCACTTCGAGTTCGACCCGAGTGCGAGCGAGCAGACTGAGACTCTGGTTCTTGAGTAGTGTGCCTTATTCACCCTCGCTTGTTTTTCACGGGCTAATTCCTCTACCAAACTCCATGGACGTTTTACTTCAGAATAAAAATAATATATAAATGTTATCGAGAGCTTCAAAGTAATTGTTAGCGGCTACTCTTTCGTAGCGCAAATATTCCACGAAACTAATTCAAGTTTGGAAAAAAACGAAAAAAATGTAATTTAGACAACAGGGTGTGAGTGATCGTTAGCGGATATATATATATGTATGAGTTTGTAATAAATTTAATTCGTCCTTCGAGACATGATTCAGTGAAGCTCGTTTACATTACTTCAAAGTCTTGATATAAAGTGTTACTCATATTTAAGAATTGAATGAATATTTTTTAGAATAGCACAGGTACAATTTAACTTTTTATTATTTTCAATGTACAGCCGACGACAAGCATACTCACACATATATTGAAAGGTTCATCAAAGCTACAAGTGCTCAAAAACTAGCGTTATTAGAAAAAAAAATACATCAATACACAAATTTTCGACTTGTCAATTCCAAAAAATATATTGATGTTATCTCGTTCGAGCTTTGCTCTGCATGGAATTAAAAGAACTGGCAATGCTTTTATGGTGAGCGATTACAAGAGATAAAAGAATACAATTGATGCAGCACAAATGGACACTTAGCTTTTTCAACCACTTGCGAATTTTCAATTCGAACGTGACTGAAAAAGAAAAAACCTAACTACTTTATTCGCATACGGCTTGAGTAAAAATTTAAAATAAAAACACAAACTTTTTTTAAACTCACTCAATGAATTCATTTTTTTTTAATTTATTTATTTAGTTGTCTTGGAAAATAAGCAAAATTGAATAAAATAAGACATTTGAAAATACATCAAATAAATTTATCATAAACTTTGGCCTGCAGCTGCCAGGCTAATTTTCCACAAATCTTCGTTCTTCAGCTGCTCGATGATCATTTTAGAACAGAGAATCGGCAGTTTATAGTGTGTCAGCTCCATGAAACTATCCACTGCCCAGCGCCGGAAAAATCCTCTCGACATTTTCTCAGACAAGTGCACAATACAAGCGTCACTGGTAGGTCCGTCGGAGACCTCCCACAATTCTTTCGAGCGCCAAAATTTGAAGTATTTTTCGGTTATGAGTATTTTCGACATCTCTTTGGATCCTAACCAGATCAAATCGTAGAGCGAAAGACTCGAGCTAATCATTATTTTTTTTGCTTTTATCAAAAACTCCTCATCGTCGAACAAATGTTCTTCAAAGTCCTCTGACTTCTCGAACAACCCGTACTTATCGAATAATGTCATAATCGATAAGGCTTCGTCTCGTTTCAATTTGTAATCTCTTTTTTCGAGTTGCCTGACGACACCCAAAGCGCCAGACGCTATGCTCAATTTATAATTAAGCGAAATTTTACAGTCCTTCATCCAATTTAGTGTCTTGTCTGAATCGACTGAAAAGGAATTTTCAGTAGGAAAAACAAAGCTGGACAGATCAGCCCCACGATTCAAGAGTATATCGACTTCATCCGGCAAAAGATTCATCACGGCCAATTGCAGCGGTGTTCGGCCCAATTTGTCCTTTGCATCGATCTTTACAAGTAGATTTAATTTGTCGTTTATCTCGAAAAAAAGCTTGGCCAGGTCGTGACACTCGTCGACTTCCATGCTGTATTTGTCATTCTGGGAAATAATATGGAGAGGAGTTAATCCATTCGCGTCTGTTGCGTTTGGATCGGCGCCTGCTCTCAGCAGCGATTCGATCACCTTGCAGTGACCTTCGGTCACCGCCAAGTGCAATGGAGTGTCACCCGACTTGTCCACGGCACCAACGTGTATCGGATGATTTTTTTCGTGGCTAATATCGAAAAATAAAGTGGCATACTCATTATAGTATGGATTTCGACAAATAATGTGCAGAGGAGTCGACCCGTTGAAATTGGCCAAGTTGGGGTTGGCCCCGTGTCTAAGCAGCAATTCGAACACCCGTTCATTATCGTTGATCAGAGCCAAATGCAGCGGCGAATTATCTGTTCCTTGCCGGAGACAGTTGGGGGATCCTGACCGAGATCGAGGTATTT